AACACTTTAAAAATAAATGTAAAACAAACCAATTTTAGTTTAAAATGAAACTTAACAGTTTCTAAAAGAATATATTTGCTATTTTTGCCGTTTTTTAATTTTGTTTGAATTTATGTAATCTGGTAGTGCGTATTTTGCTCCTCTTATAAAGGCCTCTATGGTCGACCCAGGGAAAGAAGTTAAGGGAGGTAATGCCAGAAGTAGGCATATTAAGGAAGGCAGTAATATATTTGACTATAATTCCTGGTAAATAGGTACTTATTTTAAGTTTTAAGGGACGATGTCGAGTGGCCAGATGAATATAAAAATGAAGTTATCAATAAGATTTTTCTTAATAGCGCTAGCAAATGTGACGGTGCTGCAATTAGTATGCAATATATTTTCTATAGCTATCTTATAGCAAGATATGAAAGTCAGGCGGATACCTTCTGGGACACCTTTTACTCTCTTCACTCCAATCGTTTCTTTAAAGATAGATCCTGGTTGGCGTCAGAATTTCCCGAAGCATTTCCAAAATTACCTCTTCGCTCTAAGGTAAAAAGTGAAAGCTCTTATCCTGGGAGTAATTGTGCTTTTCGACTGCTTGAAGTTGGTTGCGGCGTAGGAAACACTGCTATACCATTGTCAAGGCTTCACAAGTTGGTAACCTCATACTTACTCCTTAGGCCACTAGATTCTTTTGTTTATGCTTGCGATTTTTCCCACCAAGCTATACAGCTGCTAAAGGTGGGTTTCCTAATATGGAATATATGTTTTTAGGCTCTTCCAGAATACGACTCTGAGAATCTACTCGCTTTCACTTGCGATGTCACCAATCCGTGTAGTGAAATGCCATTTCACTTCGAGTCGGTGGATATTATTTTTCTAATTTTTGTTCTTTCTTCAATAAGCCCAGACAAGTTAGTTCTTTATTTTTATGAATTTTCAAGACACGAAGCAGTACTTAGATTTTTATCTCGATATTTGAGACCTGGAGGCATTATTTTATTCCGCGATTATGGAAGATATGATCTAGCCCAAGCGAGGTTTAAGGAAGGCCGGTGCCTCTCTGATAACTTTTATGCTCGAGGAGACGGGACAAGAGTATATTTTTTTGAGCTCGGTATACTTTCTTTACTTACTTATAGGCTAATTCTTAGATGAAATACATTCATTGTTTTCATCAATTGGATTTGATGAGATAGAAAACAAGTTAGACCGCAGGCTCGTCGTTAATCGATTAAAAATGTCGAAAATGTACCGAGTTTGGGTTCAGTCAAAGTACAAAAAGCCCGTTCATGCCTAAACTTCCTATTTTCTATTACAATCTGGTTTCATTGCAGATTTTATTGTACGTTTTTAGAATATATCTAACACAGAAAAGGCAATATTTCTTAAAGTTTCAAGTCAAGGTGCACATTAAATCAGGCAATCGTCTCCAGTTCTGTAGAACCCGTATGGGCCAAGTTAGTAAAAAAATATCCAAGTAGCCTATTTGGCGTCTTCGATGTAGTTATTTAGTTACTGGTTCCTCTATGGAATTTGCACATTGTGACTGCTAGATCTATTGAAAACTAGTCCAATGATTTGCCATCCTTATTTCTCCACTGAGCCGTCCTCCAATTTAGTATTCATTTTGTCTATTGTCTGT